GCAGATATTTTGAGTTTAGAAATTCTGGTTTTGGGACTCAAAATCCATCCTCTGTAAATCCTACATCATAATGTACATCTAGACCAAAGTAAACAAGACCAAGATAATCAAAAAAGAGAATATAATCTTTCCAGTGCTGAGACTCTGAACAAACATATTTTTGCTATTTTGTACAGCACAATTTTTTAATCATGGAGTTTTTCTGTCTTCTTGTATGCAAAAGCACATTTTATACCATGCTGAATAACACTGCCAATATAGCTGCCATTGTTTGGCAAGTAACAAGTATTACTTGACCTCCTTTTAGTTACATATTCGCTAGAAAAAGAAAAACAAAACCTCCAAAACATGTTGATGGATATTTGTCCCTTTGCTCTTAATTAAGGGTGCAGAACTTCAGTCTTCCTTTCTGCAGCATAATTAGCAAAGGCTGACTAATCTATCTTAGTGGAGGGCCATGATTTGATAGCATTTGATCTGTGCTGTGTTGCCCTGCTGTCACTTTCTGCTCCATACCCAGGTACGTACACCTAGAATCTCTCGTGCTGAAAATAATTATTAATTCTTGCTTTGTTTCCCATAAATCACAAAATGATGCTAAAATAAACTTGGAATATTAATCTGTACTAATATTTGCTATATATAGTATTAACTGTACTAATGGTTGCTATATAAAGTATTGATTTTCAGATACGTCAGTAATAATCTGAATATGTATCAAAAATGCTATATGCTAAACATAAATTGAGTAGCATCATATGTTATGGTCTGATAAGGCTACTGGAGTAATATTAAGTTACTAAAACAGAAAACATCTTTTTTAAACTAAATAAAACTTGGTGCAAGAACCACAATGATGCAATTGTTCTAAACACGCACATAAAGCAATGCAGCTCTCTTTCTTGTGTTGGCAAGGTCCCAGGTCCCTACAACTCTATATTCACACACCTCTGCTTGCCCAAGTCAGCCAATCATATAATATCTATAGAATAAAACATTAATGTTGCTATGATCTACAAAACACCATTGTAGAAAATTTTTCGTTGTGGAAAATCTACAGAAAATGACCTTGACTTTTTCCCTTAAACAAATCCATATTGGCTCACATTTTGTGTATGTGTCCTTTCCCCAATTCAATGCTTTGCTAAAAGTCTGAAAGCAGAGAATTACCATAGTAATATAATATAGTAACATAAAACTAGTTAACTCTCCTTCCTTTAAAATGCTAATATTGCTATTAACTATGATGTAGCAACACTTCAGACTAATGCAGGTCTTTATGTATCACAAAGAAGATATCAGGGTTGGCTAGGACAAGAAAATTGGCAATAAAATAATGTAGAACTATGYTTTCTTGGTAAAAATAGTTCATTTTCAAAGGCAACTCTCTATAAATGTAGAAAAAATGTAACTGGCTTGTATATACCATAAACTATTTATCTAAAATGGTACTCATTGAAACAGATGTCATCGCACAATATCCTCATCCCACCCACATTCTGTTCTTTTAGTTGTCAAACAGAACTGTTTCAGATTATTTACCAAGTGATCAGATTCAAGTAATCCGCATGATGCACTAAAGAATAAAGCAGTACTTAAAAAACAAAATACAATTTTCTCATGATGCTCTTTCATGACCTACCATATTATTGAAAGTGCCTTACCAGTAGAAATTATAAAGGGGAAACTGAAATCTTTGCAAAGGTCAAAGTAACCCTTTAATTGACAAACTTTCTATCTCAGCTTTTTCTATTTTCCTCTCCAATGCCCTTATCCTTAGATTCAACCTTCTCTTTTTAAATGCCTTCACTCAACTGAGGAGTGCACAGAATTACCATCAGAGGTGAGTCCTTTTGCTTCTAATTTCACAGATTCTTGAGATTCTGAAAGTCTGAAAATCTGAAGACACTATCTTAAGTTTGAATATTCGTGAATTTGCAGTAGGAAAAAAACTGCACTTTATTTCTCAAATCTGGACGTCAGTGGAAGGAATCTAAAAGAGACCTAGAAACATGCACTTATTTTGGTAAAYTGATAAATACCTACAGAGTAGGTATTCAAATGATAATCAAGCAGAGAAATCATTCAATATATAAGACTTTTTTATATAGGAGATATCGTCCTTCTAAAGAACGTAATAATTCTTGCAACCTTTGTTGAAGAATACTGATAATCAAAGTGCTGAAATTAACATAAAACTCATTTTAATGTCTCAAAGCTTTTTCATCGGATTAGATTTTTCACTCTTTGATGCCTGGTTGCTAAGCCACCTAACCCTTCAACCCTGCAGCTTTATGATGCCTTATTTAGGCTTCTCAACCTTGTTGAGCTGCTTTCAGATTACAACAGAGAGTCTTAAAGATAAATACCACAGGCAGGTTTTCTAGCAGACCACTTGCCAGTTTAGTAACAGCAGAATCAATAATGCATGTGCAGACGAAGTGCTGGCAAAAAGAGAAAACAGAATCTTCTAGGCGTTCTTGAAATAAAGTTCTTTGAAATCACTCTAAACCACAGATTCCAAAAAGCTACTTATGTATTTTCTGCCCTAATGGAAAGAAATACATATTTTTGCCATTCAAGCAATTGCAAATTTTGCATTTCATATAATAATTTTCTCATACACATTTGTATTTTGACATTATAGCACATTCTTGGTGGCTGGAAGCAATCTAAGTTTACAAGTATTGAAGAAATGAAATATTATCTTCTACCAAAAGTCATGCCTATCTCTTCTGCAGTACTTCAAATCCCCACTGACTAGGTATTAAGCATCCATGTGCACTCTCTTGACTACCAGACAGCAAATCCCAGACTACAAAAATATTTTATTCTTGCTTTAGGATGAAACTTATAATGTGAACGTTCATTTCTGTCAAGCTTTGGGATGCATGTCATAGCTTTTTTTATTTAAAACCAATAAAAATATCTAGTATGAGACAAATGGTAAGTAAATGAATAAAGAGTTTCAGTGTGATTCTCTCAAAAAATCACTTATGACACGCTTGCTCTTAGAAAATAACTTCATGCTGTTAAATGCACTTGAAGTGAATACCAAAGGAATTCATAGTGAATTATCATTTCAAAGTGATATAGATTATTCAAAATTCTGTCTTGACAGCAAGGATCATTAGAGAAAGTATGACAGTATGTACTTCAGAAGCTATTTTTCATCGAGCAAACACCACTTTGCTAAATTTTAACTAAATTGGAGGATCTCTTTCATCCTCCTTTACTTCTCAGTGAGTTCATCATTCTTTCACAATTAACCTCATGTCAGCTCCTGAAAATATATTCAAGAAATAGGTGATGCAGGAGCTGGGTGGAACGAGGATATTTGTTTCTTTCTACAAAATGTAGACCGTTTTTCAAAAAGTAATATGCTACTAAAGGATAGTAAAACATGTATCAAACAATAAATGGGTAAGCTCTCCAAAATATAAATATTTAAAATTAAAGCTATCCAGAGTATTTTAAACATTGTCTATGTTAAAGGAGGCCTTCAAGTTTCTTATTCTTCTGTTGATCTAGCTGAAAATAATTGATAGCTGATTAATTGATAGAGGATTAATTGATTATGGTTGCCTCAGATATTATCTCTTCCTATCTTACGCACTTAATGCAAAAAAAGTATTGCAAGCAAAAAAAAAATGACTCCTTCAATAGTTAAGGTAATACTTTGTTGGTGTTACCCTTCTTTTGTTTGCTTTTAAAATGTAGAATGTGCATGTTGAAGAAAACAAAGATGAGAAATCTGATTTTGAATGGAAACAAAAGGATGGAAACAAAAAGAAGTGTTAAACTTGGTTGGAAAAAAAAAAAAGCAGCAGCAGAATTTTCTGTTTTTATTTTAATGGACCTCTTGTGGTTCCAATGACAAAATACGAAAATATGAGTATCTCCCTTAGAAGTTCTGCCTATGCGCAGAATCATCAGGTTTTTGTCGGTTGTAGGATTGCAGCTTCTCTCTATAGTTACAGATACTGAAGTCTCTCCCTCTGTTTACACGTCTATACATTTAGACAAACTCATCCTTTCCTCTAGACCAATGTATCCTCATCCTCTGATATGTGTTACAGAAATAAATGCAACAATGAATAGTTATTCACTGAATAATATAACCCTACCTCATGAATAAGTTGATTGACATATAAGACAATGACATTTGGATTTCAGGATTAACACACTGCCTACATCCATTGTATTTATAGGTTCAATCTCAAAATTATTTTAAATATATATTTCTCTAAAAAGTGATCTGTTTGAGATAGAGATAGTTATAACTRCTGAAGTTATAACTTCACGAAACTCCACAAAACACTTCTGTGCATAATTTCCTTCCCTAATCATGACCAGGTATGAAGACAAAAATAACTTTGCTCCCATGTAATGCACTTTKCAAAAAAGACGACCACACTTAAATTGAGGATACCAGCATTTTGGCATAATTGTCACTGCTTCTCCAGGGATAGATTTTCATGTAATTGTTATTAGTTGCAATAGGAAATAAGTATTGTATAATCAAAATCAAAAGATGAAACACATAAAAGTAAGATTATACAGTATTCTAAAGTGCTTTTACTTTTATTAGAGGAAGATTAAAGAGTATTAAAAAAAAAAAAAAGAAAAAAAAAGCGGCCCATATTTATTGCATAATCTATAAGCTCAGAAAGAAAGTAATTTTATTTTAGGCCTTACTGATGTGGCAAAATGCTGAACACTAAAGGCTTGGATGTTTTTGTGTGCATTGTTTTCCTTGGTGTTCTTGTGATTAGGATTGTTCTGGAGTTAAAAGCTATTGATTTCCTAGAAAGCTGTCTCATGCTTTTTTTTTTTTTCAGCTCTGTTTGACTGATTAAACAAAACAAAACAGACCAAAAAAAAAAAACCCTTTTAGCAACACACTATATGGCTTATTGTACTGCATCATGGCCCTCATAATAAAGGACTCAGAATCTGCAAGACCAGTAATACACAAACCTCATTAAAAATTGACCAACCTTTCCTTCAGAGTCTGCTGCTGTTACCTTCTCAACCTTGTTCCTGTTCAAAAATCTTTTCACCCATTCTTCTACTTGCACATTGAACTTCATGAAAGTCACATAGCAAAAATACGCTGTCAGAAGCGCTAAGCTTTCCCACCACATGATTAAGTTATCCAGAAAGAAGATGATTAGCAAGATCAAGTCAATGATGTAAAAGGACACATCTCGAAAGAGTGGCCACCAGGTGAGGTTCAGGATCTCTCTAGAAAATAAAGCACACATTCCAATAACAAACAGGATATTGAATACGGCAGACCCCACTATGGTCCCAATGCCGACATTACTGTGGGAAATAAAGACTCCTATCAAAGAAGTGAAGAGCTCAGGGGCCGAGCCACCAGCAGCCATGAAGGTTGCCCCAGCCACATCATCAGATATGGCCAGTTTTTCAGTGATGACAGTCAAGGAAGGAACGAAGAACTCATCGCAGACTATGGCTAAGGCTATGAACATGTAGATCATCCCAATGACATGGAGGATGACTGCTCCTCTTCTTCTTTCCTCCAGGGAGAAAAGGTCCTCTGGGTACTCTCCCTTGGCATGRTCTTCTGTTGCGTTGCTGTCCTCACCTTTGGGACTCGTAGGGACAAGTGGGTCTGGGGTGCTGCCTCCGCTCAATTCTGTGAAATCCAGGAGAGTTCTTTGGTGCCCGTGCATTAGCCGTGGGCTATCGAGGCTGCTGGCCAGCTCTGCGCTACGTGGCTCGGTCTTGAAAAAGGCACTAATTGAAAGAGAGAAAGTACTAATGGCCATTATACTCACAAGAAGCCCTATTATTCGTATCAGTCTCAGTTTTTTCCTAACATTCTGGTTCCKTCTGCAAGCAAAAAGGGGTTCCTCTAAGACACTCGCAACAGTCTTTCTATAAAGAGCCATTTTTTATTCTGTGTGAGAGGCTGAGAGAGTCAGATGGACTGTTCCTTCATATTTTTCTTCTGCTTCGATGCTAAAGGTGCTTTGAGAGGTTTTCCAGAATTAAGCAGTTTTATTCTTCATAGAAATTGTTCTCTTCATTCATGCTTAAAGGACAAACAGGTGTTATTAATATCAGTGCAACAGCATATGATTAGAAGCACATAAAGAAATACTTAACTGGRTTAAATTTAGAATTTAAAGCAGAATATTCCTAACTATAACACAATACTCTACCACAACCTATCAAACACAGTAACAATGTATTTGTTTCAACAGTAATTCTATGGATAAAAATCTATCAATATTCAGATCATTTTACATCTTTCAGAAGCCACTGCTCTGCATTAGGTCTCAGGTGCTGACAAATAATCCTAGTGGAAGGTGGAAGAAACTATCCCCAAATGTTTTGCAAACATGAATGAGCTATTATTTGAATAGATACATCAAAGATTCTTAACTGCAGTTAATTACTTCTCACCATGATCATGTAATGCCCAATACTTAAATGTAAAGGTAATAACGTATGAAAAAGCAATTGAATTACTGACAAGAATCTCGTCAGACCTTTATGCRACTGAGATAATATTAATAGAATTATTATGTGTGCAAAGAGCAACAATACTCGAAATGTAGGTAAAATTAGGACTACTCTCAACCACAGCTTATTTCTTCTGCAAAATCTACTTGAGTTTACAGAAAGAATTCAAGTTTGCTTCTACTCAGACCTAAAACTAGCTAAGACAAAATTTTCATTCAATACTGCTTCTGTCTTAAGTTAACACATTCAGCTATCAGTTCAGCAAGTTGCAAAGAATATTTATGTGACAAGCACCTTTTCAAAGTGTCARTCCTACAAATCATTAAGAAAATACTAAATTTACACAAGAATTAATCCTGCAACAAATAAGACTAGGAGAGGACAAGCTATGGGAAGAACAGTTCTTGCATGTCAGAGTGACAGTGTTGTGCCAACACCACTTTTATAACAGGAAAAAYGGATGTATTACCATAGGTGCTTATATATACCAAAAAATGTAAGTAACGTAGAAATTAGTGTATATGCAGGCATAGCAAGTTGCATCATACATGATACGAAATACAAAATAATTTCTAAMCAACATGATTACCATTTACTACTTTTATAGGCATTTGTAGTACCAATTGAATACAGAAGACTACAAACCTATAAAAAAACCACTAATCTCTAAATTCTCTAACACAGAACAAAAACCATCGCCTGCAGCTATTTGCGTAAAAGTTACTAAGTCATGCCCAGTTCTTCCTCCTGCTGCCGACAGCTCCCATGCTAACATGCCACTGAGACACTCTCCATCCAGAGGGATCCAGCACCACAACGGAACACTATTCTATTCCCCACCTTGGATTTGCCCGCCTGCCGTGAAAGCACCGGGCGCCGCGGGTAAGGGGGCACCTCCAGCGCCGCCGCAGCGGGCACGGCTGGGACCGCGGCGGCCCGGCACCCCACRCCGATGTGGGTCACGAAGGGGCGATGCCCCGCGGGCCGCCCCACTGCCGCACGCCGCGCAGCGCCGCTCCGCGCAGCCCCGTCCCTCGACGCGCGCCCCGCGCAGCGCGGACCCCGTCGCCCCGGCAGCGCGCGCAGCCTCCCCGAAACTCATCCCAAGTTCGCCCCGCACCAACTTTCCTCCCCTCCAGGGCCGCGCAGAAGCCGCGGAGGCTCCGCACCCACCCGGCTCCAGGCGCGGCTCCCGCAAGCKCCGCCGCCGCCGGCAGCCCGCTTTGCTCCGCGGGGAGGAGCGCAGCGCGGAGTCCTCCTCCGGCCCGGCCTCCTGCGCTGCCGCCCGCCCCGGTGCCCGCCCTGCGCACCCGCAGGCGCGCAGCGATGCGCGCAGCCCGCCGCTGCTGCCGTGGCCGCTGCTGCCGTGGGACCGCGGGAGCAAAGGGGCAGTGACTGCAAACATGAGGAGGTCCCTCATCTAAACGCCTTTTATTCTTGGTRTTTTCTGGAGCAGAGTTAGGGAATGAGGGAGATGGGCATTTCTGTGAGGTTTTGATTTTTAAATAAGACTGCACAGCCTCTGGAAGTTATTAAGTGTTTTTGCGTATTGACAGAAATGCCTTCCAGTTGCTCTTCGAAGGTGGCACAAAGAGTAATAAGGATAGACGGAACATTTTAAGAAGTGGGGGAAGTTCAGATCTGGAACTGGATCTTTCTGGTTTGGCCTGCTCCTTTCAGCACAGATATGCTCCCCTTCCAGCCCCTGCCCCTCCTCTCCCAAATTTTGCTGTCTTAAGTAATTACTTCAAGATTCAAATACAATGAAATATGATAATCATAACTAACTTATAACTAACTCTTGGTGTTAAATGCTGTAGATCTTACAGAGTGTAAAAGTACTGCTCTGTTGAAACTTGTAGTTTTCTTCTGTGGAGCTTTTGCAAAAGGCAACATGGTCATCCATGAAGTTACTTAAGTTATATTAAGCTAAGCAAAACAAATGATAYCGACCTGAGACCTTCCCTGGTGTTAGGGGTCTGTAAGGGATGTTCAGTCCTTCAACAACACTCTCTCGGAATAAGGGTATTTGAAATGATGAGCAAGTATAATTCTCAGTTACTTTTGACTGAAAAATAACTTTGATTTTTATAACTTYTATTTTTTCCTTTATTTCTGACACTGATACCATCAGATGGCAGATAAATAGCTGTACCTGGTACTCTGAGGAGAAAAGAAAAATGCAGAGGTCTGATTAATTAAAAAAATCCAGACATTCTAAGTATCTTTTGAGTATATCACATGATATCACATGAAAAAATAATGATTATCTATATGGGCCCTGGGCATGTAGTCTGTTTGTATCTCCCCATCAGCTATATGCAATGCCTCAAATTCTATTGCATTTCAATAGATGCTGGTAACTGTTGGTCTCCCTGGTTGCCTTGGAGGTGACTGGAAGCCCCTAACAGCTGTAACACACCCAAAACAGATATAACTGAACAGATAGGCATCTTAGAGGTGACATGGACATGCAAGAAGTTCATAAGATAATCCATTAACACCAGTAATTTTCAGGTAAAGTAAGGGCTGACTTTGACATGCCCTCCAGTGATAGAATTTGCACAGGTGATTTATATTTATTTCACATTACATATCGAGAGTTTCTAATTAGTGTGTGACAGCTGATTGGGGATTCCTGCTGATTGCCCAGGCTTGTGTAATTCAGGCTCAAGATGATGGTAAAACACATGTAGAGATTACTTTGACCATCCATCTAGAACCACCCAATATTTAAGAATTAATTATTCTTAAGTACAGTGTCACATACGTAGGACATAAATGAAACAGCTAGATCTCAAATACCCARCCTGTGGCTGCTATTCAGTGATGAAGAGGATTAAAGATAAGTGTTCTTATAAGTACTTATGGCTGTTGCATGTTTGCCTTGTGGTTTATGCAAAACAGCCACTACCTAACAATGACTATGAGATATTTTGAGTTTCAGAAATGGCCAGAGGCAGGCTGGGATGTGTATGCAATGCCTTAGTATCAGTCAGTTTCTCACATAAACTAGAAGCAGTCAACTTCTGCAGAATGACTAGAAGAGGAAGAAGAGTTTAGAAAATCCCATATAATTGCATGAACAAAAAGCCYGTCAAACGAAAGCCCAAGAACAGATGGGTGCTAGATACACACAACTGTAAAAAATGAAAGTCTAGTTACATATATGCAATCTGAAAAACTTKTTTTTTCTTTAACGGAGAGTCTATATTTGGTTTATTGCACTATTTGTGAGGTGCTCCCTGAGGTCAAAAAGCTTCTTTTCCACGATTTCCTATCTCCACACTGTAGTCTTTTCTTTTTAAGAATATTATCATTTTCGCTCTTCTGTTAGTRTTTCACACCTTAAACTGTGAGGAGAAGGCACACAAGTATCTTATGTACTACATAAGTAGGACATAAGGGCCTACAAATTAGTACATCCAGGGCCTACAAAAACCCTGGATGACAATGTCCCTGTCACAGCAGTAAGGCCTAATGCTGGGAAATGAAACTGATGGGGAGGTTACCATGACTACAGAGGCGGCATATTTGAATGAAAATTGGTGTTAAGATTTTAAATGCTAATTGCGGTTGGGAATGGGAAGATACCTGTTTTTTTTTAAGACTTTGCAACAAATAGTAACTAAAAAGGAGATTGAGAAAAATCATAAATTAAAACACTGATAGTCTCTGTCATTGAAGCAGATTATATCATTTCCATGTTCTTAATAGCAACTAAGCATGCTACATATAAACCACAGGGCCCAAAAAACAAAAAGTATTTATATTACCTGAGCAAAACACTCTGGAAGTATTGAGGAAAATGAAATAGGCTTCTTTAGAGTTAACTGCCATAACAGCAGTTTCCAGTAGCTCACACTGAAGATTCTATTAAACTCTTGGAACTCTTTTTGAAGATGCTATTAAAGATTTGAAGATATGAAGATGCTATTGAACTCTAGGTTCTTAGAAACTATTTTAAACTKTTGGTGCTGAGTAAATCTCACAAGTGCCCAGCGCAGGGAATACTTGCTCTTTCCACTTTGTATATTAGGAACACATGGTGGTAAAGTTCCCACTAGCATCAAAACTGTAAGCAAAGAGGACATAGAGGCTGGCATCCCTCCAACTACAGCAGTCTATGGTCGCACCGAAGACTGACTTTGGCTGTAAAAGATTTGGTAGAAGATATATTTTACTTTCCCTGTAAGCACAGTTTTAATAGTAACCCTTGAACAATTGTATGATATTCCTATTTTACTTGCAGTGGGTCAAATTCTGTGTATTTTGAATTTTCATCATGACTTATTATATAAGTCACCATGGAGTGTAATGCTGGCAATAACATTTTAAAACCACTACTGTGAATATATGTTTTCTAACAAATGGTTGCTTTGAAGACATTTGACAAGGTTGACTTTTTCTTATTTTTTCTGTAAATTTAATATTTTTGACTGTGCTCTGATTAGACAGARTGAACTTTATAAACATCTTTAACAAGGAAACTAAAACTGAATGTTTTTTGATTTAATTCTCCTAGTGAACAGAATAATAGAAAAATATAAATCAGATRTCCTTTTAAAAGATGAAGACTGTTTTTTCTGCATTTGCAGGTCACAAGATATCATGTTTTCCTATCATAATGTTTACAATAATAGTTAGGCACAGAAGAATCATGAATAACATTATCATGGAAGCCAGTCTCCCTAAGAGACAGTCTCCTGAAGTGAAAGCACAAATCTTCCACTTTACTTAAGAAGGTCTGAATGAGACCAGAATCACCACAGGCTAACAGCTGGTGTTAAAGCAGGAAAAACTATACGGGATATTATTATGGACCATGGATATATGGATTATATGTCCTCTTCAACATCCAAGTGGTTATTTTTATTTAGAAGGTAACTGCATTTTCCAGCAAATCAGCAGGATGTAGCAAGATGACCTTCCCTTTTTGAGGCTGATTTGTTAATTTGCTCCTGAAAAGCTCTACTTATCCAAGTGCTGGAACATAACCCCAGCAAGTTGCCCTGACGTCAACACGAGGACTTATTTCGTGATAATTTGTGACCTACCATGCTGATTTATGAGAACATCTGCATGCTGGCAAGTTAATTGTCCTGAGGTGCAATTACCGGGTTAGTGGATGAGATCCAGCGTCCTTGCCAATTTTTCAGCAATTTCTTGCATCATATTGCTTCGCACCTCTGTTGTAGCGCTCTGCTCTGTGAAATTTGCAATGCTTTGGACTGCCGTAGCAATAGAGGTCAAACTTAGTATTACCAACACCTTGGGTTTCTTATACAGTTTATTTCTGACCAAGCYGTTGTCCAAACAAAGCTGGGCATAAAAGTCTCCCACCAACCATAACCCTCTCATGTATTACATGGTCATTGCTGTTCTAACATATGGTAATTACCTTTTTCTTCCTTTTGAGTCTCCATGTGTTCAGCCTTCTCATATTTCTTGCACTTGACAAATTGCAAGTTATTTGTCATCGTTTCTGTAGTAATCTAGTTTTCATATAGTCCTTTCCACCCTTGTGCAACAATTTATGTAAATATATATATATATAAGGTAAAATAACCTTGAAATAGTCAGATGTGAAATTATGAGGATTTATCTGTTAAGCATTACAATATGCTGATTAACAAAGATAATGTGCAAGCAAAAAACCTAAAACAAAACAAAAAAATGGGATGAAAGAAAAGCAGATGGGAAAACATCTTTGCACTGAAATCAATCCTAACTCCTTGACATTTCTAATGAAAGGAAGAGAAAGTCATGAAGCCCATTCCCTTTTGAATTCTGAGGTATAGAATTCTAARGTCTAAATTCTAAATTCTATACCCAATAGGGTATAGTCACAATTAGCATTGCTTAATAAGATGTCCTGAACTTGTTCACTAAAAGTGATATAATAATAATATGATTTGATATCCAGATCAAATTGATCAGAGACCTGATCCATAAGAGATTTTCAATATCTTCAAATGTTTTGATAGAAACAAAAGTCTTTCAAAGAATAGATGATAAACTAAGCTTTGTATTTGGTAGTAGTTATATCACTGACTGATGGTATATTGAATTTTGCAGTAAGATTGAAAAGGTGGTAGGAAAAGCATCACAAAATCAGTCCCATCAAATGAAGGAAAACAAAACAAACAAACCARCCTCAACCAACAAACAAACAAAAACTGCCAGACCTTGCAAACTAATTAGAGTATCTGCAATCAGAAAATAA